CCAGGGATTGGTTCAGTAGTGGATGATGGGTGGGCAGGCAGTGCTCACATGACCTTGATTTCCTGTGGGGCCCATCACATTCTCCCAGTACACAGTTGCAAGACAACATCAAGGTTGACCATGATGAAGCTTCACCGCCCCCTCTCCATCCCAGTATGGGGCAGGGACACAGACAACTGGAAGTTGGTTGAGTGCCACCACTTGATCCTGCCCACTACTAGATTGGTGAAATCTCTGGCTGCAAATGGGTTCAAACCCCAATTCAATCTTGAGCCACTACAGGAGGCAGAAATAAAGAACAATAGTAGTCTGGCATTTAAGTGACTTGCAAACAAGTTGTTTTTCCAGTCTGAGATACCTATTCTATGCCCTTAATTTGCAATAGATTCTTTAAATTTTATATGGCTTTAGATAAAAATTATCTGTTATATGGACCCTAATCATTTCAAATTATACTCTTTGCTTCAGTAACAGCTTGATATGTTACTGTATCAGAAATGGCACATTTGAATTTATTCATGAAAGGCAAGACAATCCATGGTCAACAAGCCCTTTCCGCATCTCCAAGGATGGATCGACCTTAATTCTAAAATGCGTATGTGGTTACATTGATGCCGTCACTTTCCATGGATTTTCCCATTAAAATGGGAATAAATATTGGGGGTTATTTTTCAATTGGCTGCTTCATAGGGGTAAACCCAAAGATAGACTTTGATTGCTCAAGCTACGATTAAAAATATATATCAGAAATCCAGCAAAACGATTCATTGCTACATATGTCAGCAGCATTTATCATTCACATCTTTAGCTCCAAGAGCATATAAACTTTCAAGGATGGTCAGTCAGTGGACAATGTTTATATATTACTTAGAAATCAATTTCAAGATAGAACATTCTGAACTTCCGAACAAGGAATGAGGTGCACAGATGTTATGATGGCTATTCCCCAACATATATAGATTTGATTTATATCAAAGAAAGCTCTCTCTCTCTTTCTCTCAAAACAGACCCCTCTAACCTTGCTGGAACTATGGGCTGGAGCAAATACTACTTGATAGTCTCAAGTGTTGTAAAAATGATTTTATGAATAAACTAGGGTTACCATAATGTCTGGAAAGCTCAACAACCTTTGTGTCTGGATATGAAATATGGCAACCCTAGAATAAGCTAAATAGCTTTCATTGCTGCACTAAATGCAGTGTCTCTACCACTACTTCACTACATATAAAGATCTAGATATACTCCCTAGAAAAGACCCTGATGTTGGGAAAGATGGAGGGCACAAGGAGAAGGGGACGACAGAGGACGAGATGGTTGGATAGTGTTCTCGAAGCTACCAGCATGAGTCTGACCAAACTGCAGGAGGCAGTGGAAGACAGGAGTGCCTGGCGTGCTCTGGTCCATGGGGCCACGAAGAGTCAGACACGACTAAATGACTAAACAACAACAACAAAAGATATGCAAAACCCCCCATTTTTGTAAAACAAAGAAAGAAAGAAGAAAACCCAAAATAACAGTGTTTGCATGATGTATCTGGAACTTTTTTGTACTTAATGCATAGGCCTTCCACAGTCACCATCTGATGATGGGAATAAAGGACAGGAATAATATTAGAACAGGAATTATATATATATAGGAGCCAATACAGGTGTAGGTCACAACTTTCGTATAAGGGAAAACATTTGAAACAGAGAAAATGGAAAAGACTGTAACAGCACAGAAGAAAACAGACAGGGGGGCAGCCCACAGGTTACATTATTCTTGCTTTTAATAGCAACTGATAATGTTTATTTTGAAGAAAAAGCAGTCATGGGGCCCTGATCTGAAAGGTCTTTTTTTGGCGGCGGGGGGGGGGGGCATTTACTACCACGGTGCTCCCTTCCTTGCTATTTGTCCATGAAGCTGCTGTGGTGGTGAACAGCACTTTTGGGAATAAATATGAGCTGCCTTGGGTGGCAGTGTAGTTTGGCCTAATATACTGCCGAAGCCAAGATGTTGAAGGCTATGAAACATGGTTCGTAAATGTTTACAGTTTCAACGGACGTTATGAGTCTAGTTCTAGCAGGTTATGGTTCTTTCTACTATGGGGCAAAGTGAACATTTGCCGCAACTTGGGGTGGGTGGTACTAGAATGTGATGCCCACATTGCTACTTTTCACAGAGAAGACCATGCCCATGAGAAATTTCTCATGTTAGTTTAACTAGAAATCAGAATGGAAACTAAGATTCAAAAGTTGGCATACTCTAGTCTAGCTTCACTGCTCAGAATGAGTGCAACATTTCAGAATTCAGATACAAACTTTCAATGTGACAGTCTATTCCAAAATTCAAGTGCTCGTTGGCATCATCTAGGAAATATCAGAGGCTGTCAAACACTGTCAGATATAAATACCATTGCATGCCATCTGACAGATGCTATTGGATGCTAAATACTGTCCGTTACTAAAGTGCTTACCATGCCAGTGATCAGACGGCGACATCAAATGCCACATATCGAATGGCAAAATAAAATATGACAGGGCATCAAGTATACAAAGAATGCTTGGCAAATATTGGAATATTCTGAAAAAATATCTGGAAAAATATTCTGCGTTAAAATTTGCAGAGGAGCAAATTGCTCTTGGCTCTTTTGGAAGCGAATCAAAGCCTTTCAGCTGCTGTTTCGACAGAGGATTTGGAACCAAGTCATGGTGTGCAGGAATAAAGTGAATTAGTTAGCACTGAGCAGCATGTGTGGTCCAGCAACATCTGAAGTCTGAGATCATGTAGTGATGCTGCCCCTTTTGATGCCAATATTGCTAGTTTTTCACACAGAATCTTGGCTTTCAGAGATAACCAGAGTGATGGAGGGTAGACACAGAGTGCAGGAGTAAAGAGGAAACAGCAAGGATTAGAGAGTTGGAATGTATGGTTTGTTATCACAATGGAGAGAGATGAGTCCCTAGTATATGTGTATGTGTGTTTTATATGGACCTATATATACATGGACCAATATATATGGACCAATGCCTTTTAACTTATTCATACATGATCTGGTCATTGGACTGACAGATGTGTATATGAATGAGAAAGGGCTGCTCCCATAGGCATCTGGTGTTGGTGCCTGGGTACACTGAGATAGACCTCGCTGGGGTTCTTGCACCAACTGGAGAATGCCAGGCAGCTATGTTCCCCCCCACAAGCAACCCTTGGGATGATTCATCACTCTTCTTTCCCGATGCGCTTCTGCAACACATACTGTATCCGGAGATATATGCACACAATACAGTAGCAGAGTTCAAGCATAAGCTAAGCATTGGATGTGTGGATTTCTAAGCAACTTTATTATGTACAAAACAGAACAAAAGAAAACATGGCTCCTCTCTCTTTCTTCATCCCCAAGACAGAAGAAAAACAAAAGTACTACACAATGGAACAGTGTAACTGAACTTCCGCTCTCATGACTCCAACAATATGGAATGTCAACACAGACGTGATGAAAACAATCACACATCCTGCAACGGGAGGAATGAAATCCCAACATCTGGTTGGCTATGACGAGACATGTTTAGGATTGTGGTCTTCACATCAAGGTTGCATCTGTTTTTTATAAAAGCCTGTAAAAAGAAACCAAGATTCCTGGGAGGCTCCTATCTATTGTCTCCCTTCTTTTAACCAAATATATTTGGCCATTTATTGCCATCATAGGGATTGTAGACATGCACTTACAGTCCTCACCATGCTTGCTCAGAAACGCAGTTGGGGGTGGTGGTGAACTCCCTGTTGCATGTGGAATCCTGTACCAAATTTCCTGGGTTCAAGGCCATTAAACTCAAGCTTTTGGGTAGGCATGAACAGTGTTAAAATGTTTTTTGAGAATTCAGCCTGAGTCTGCTAAGAGCTGCTGCTCCAGCTGAGAACTGATATTGGTGCTGACCACTGCTGTACTTATCAAATATTGAGCACTGCTGTAGAAGCAGGTTTCTTCCTGAAAATCTCCCAGGCAGGAAACTCCATACTGAGTCCCTGGTGCTCAGTTGCCAGTATAGTTAAGAATCTATTCCTAAAGTTTAGGACCTAAACTTTTAGATAGTCCTACTTCCTTAAGTGAATAGGAGAGAACCATTGTCCTGGCTGGAGTGCGAAGGGGAACCCTTTACATTCAAAACTGATGCCTTTGTCCTTTTCATGCCCCACATGAATATGAGATTAAAAAAGAATAATGAGCCTCTTACTGAAATCAAGGTGTAGAATGAGCTGAAAATGCCTATTAATGTGGGACATCCTGCATAATCCATCACTGTTACATGAGGTCATAGGATCAAATAGCAGGGTTTTTCTTTTCTTTTCTTCTTAAAGGACCAGAAACATTTGATGGCCATTACTTTTTTAGATGAAATCCTAACAGCATTTAAGCTACTGCTTTCTCATTGGCACATAAAGTCAAAATATCTCTGCATGAATGCCATAGTCTGTAAGTATCTGAGATACTTGGAGCGCATCACTTCCAGTAGTTCAGATATGTACTTTTAACCCAGTATATTCCATGCAATTTCAGTTCCATTTATATTATTTCCACTGCTACTCTAACCCCTTTGGCCCAGAATAAGGGGTGGTGATGGATTGCTCTGCCTGATGTGGCTTAGTGAGCTGCCTTTCCCAAGGCATCCTTTTCAGAAAGTTGCTTATAAACCTGTGAGGCAGGTCATCGTTTGTGGAAAGTAAAAGCAGACCTATGCCATTGGTGCAGAGCAGGGAAAAGTGCTGAGCTGAGGAATCTCTGGCTCTGCAATAGTTGTTGGACTCAATTCCCATCAGCTGGAGTCAGTGCAGCCAAAGTTAAGGGATGATGGGAGTTGTAGTCCACCAGCATCAGGAGGGCCAAAGGTTCCCCAGCCCTGCCATACAGAAATAAACCCAAGTAAATCAGACCAGGGGCTTAAGCAATGATTCATACACAGAGACATCATTTCTTGACAAGCATACATGCAATGGTTTATTTATTTTGCACTAAGTTTTGAATGTGGTCCTGAAGGAAACGTGTGGTGAAACAGAAGTGCTAATGGCTTACAGGTGGCTGAAAGAATATCACTTGGGCTACAAAGTGAAAAGCACAAAGATAAAGACAAGCAAAGGAGCCATTTTTGATTGAGTTAATTCTATAAAAGCTGTCGGTACTTAACCGCACACAGAAAACCCTATTTTGGTTTCAAAGAAATCATGAAATGAAAGGCTGCAGCGGAATCACATGGTAACAAAAGCACAGTGGCAGCAGTTCTGGCCTCCCATAAACTTCTCACCCAGCGCTCTAGAAAGAAAGGAAAATATTGGTTGAACTTTCAGAGAGCAGGAGAGACTTCCGTTGTCTTTTGAACTTCAGTGTTATCCGTGGAAAGTCAGTTTCAATTTTGTATGAAGAGAAATGCTTACCTGGTCATAAGCCTCCTTTTCATGCAAGATAAGAATTTTCACCGGGAAATTATTTGTTAGCAAATCTCAGTGTCAGCTCAATTCTGGAAAATAACTATTTGTGTTTAAGGTTGTGTTGCTTGTAAAGAAACTGCTCTTTGCTACCTGTTTATTAAGGACAATGTTCAAAATACGGCCTTTATCCTTAGAATGAGTAGTATAAAAGGGTATAAAAGTAGTATAAAATTTTATCTTACCTCCTCCAATATTGTCAGAATACAGACAGAGAGACAGTCATAGAAATATAAAACATGATATTCTGTGTGTATATAAGCCTAATAGACTAGATCTGAACAGTTATCTTCCTCCCCTAGTTCCATCAAGGCCCTTGGGATTAATTTGGAGTGCTCCCTGGGGCTGAAAGGAAGCTGCATGGAAAACAATAGGCTTACTTCTGACCAGACATGTGTGGGTGACACTGTTAAGCATGCAATGTATATTGCCAAATCAGATCCACAAAGGTATACCGAGACAGGTGCCTTTTCCGTGGCAGCCTCTCAGCTTTGGAATGTTCTCCTCAGAGACCTTCCAAAACTACATCCTAGATGTCGCTTGGAAGTGGTACAAGACATTTGGATTTTGGTCTCTCTGAACCAGAAGGGTTAGGGTAAAATAATTACCTTGTTACTTGTTGCAAGTATAGTTCTAGGCAATTAGGGTGGGGTGGCCAGTAAATCTGACTAACCAAGAATTCAAGATCACAAACTAGGAAATAAGATTGGCAAACTGTTCAAAGCCATCAACACCTTTCCTCTCACATTACCCAAATCTCACTCACGCCAAAAACATTATCCACCTAGGCCAGGAAACTACTAGTATAGCCAGTGCCTTTTTCTGGGGGGATGCAGGGGTACGCATACCCAAAAAAATTTGTGAATTTTTGTACTTTTGTCCATTTACTGTATTTTCCCCGATTCGAACGATAAAATAGTGATTTTCTTGAGTCAAAATGAGAGTACCACTATACATTTTTTAAGGGAAAAAAAACCTGAATATAACACAGTATAACTCAGTGGGAATTAATGTGCACTTAACATAACCCTAACCATACTGGACCCTGCTTAGCTTTGCACTTGAGGCTAGGATGCTTAATCCTTGGCTGATAAATGGATTAAATTTATAGCACAAGTCTGGAGCCCAAGGAGCCAAAATAGGCCACACAGTTAAAGGAATGCAGAAATAAATTTACTCATACCAAGCCCTGTTGAGAAAATGCAGAGAGAAATCCTTCCATGAAATTCATTTAGAATTATAAATGGTGCTAAGAGTTTTCTAGGAATGTGGCAATGAAAGGATCCATCTACATTTCAAAACAGCAAGACAATGCAGAGAGACTGTAGCCCTGACATATGTAACTTGACGAAGGCCACACATATTAACCTGAATGCAATTACAGAAAAGCCCCATGAGCTAACAGACCTATTCATCTATGGTGTGTGAAACTAAGGTCATCTCAAATTACACAATGTAGGAAGCGAGCCAGGCTGTCACTCAGAGGCTGCAGACAAAACTACTGTGTATTAAAAGCCTGGCAGCAAAACAATCCACTTCTAATCACAAACCTTTGTCCTCACCAGCTTATAGAACTACTTGCTCATTTGAGCATGGGTAGCAAAAAGCTGCTTTGGTTTTTGTTCTAAGAATCAATGAAAGCACAAGCATGGATGAATGGAAGTTGATCCACTGGAGGAAATAGGGAGCTGCCCCTCCAACCTCTGCCCTCAGTTAGCCTACAACGGCCTGCCTTCTTACAATGAATCAGGGGTTAAGCTTCCCTAGCACTGTAATACCGAGGACTTTTGTTGAGGCCTCTCCTGACCTGTTAAAGCACGGGTCTGTATCTGCTGTCTTCTTCACGCTCTCCTACCAGACACCAGAATCTGTTGTTCTAAACTGCCTTATCATTCAGCACCACGGACAGCTTCTCCCCTTGTATCTTCCGCATAAGCCAAATGTTTCAGCTACTCCATCCACCAAGCCACTTTGCCTACCTCTCAGGTTTTCTTTCTCAATCCTCTTCCTTTGCTGACATTGTCGTCATCTTCTGCCTGTCCACTAGGAATCACCAACTGACACCCAGCGACTAACATCCAGCTAAATACTCGCTTCTTCTGCCTGCCACCCAGCCCCAGCCAATCACACTCTCTAGCTAAGAATTCTAAACCTGCAACCACCAATCGGAATATGAATATCTTCTATTCTTCTTTTGCATACTGAGGGTTCTGTCTCCAACCCCTTTTGAGTGGTCAGTTAAGCTCCCTGCCCCATGACAGTTAAGCCAACTTTCACCTGACCAGATAGAAGACTTCCCCCATCAAACACTTTGCAATGTATATAGTGACAGAATACATTACACAAGCCCCACTAAAAGAAACAAGATTTCATCACACTGGGCAATGACTGTCATTCTTATTTTTGAACAGTAGGCTATGTTCCACCCACAATGAAGTCAGATGTTTGCGTGGCGAGTTCCCCAGGAAGGAATAAAGAAATAAAGACACAGGACACCAAGTATTAGGTTAATGGGCGAAATAGGCCACAACTTTATTGATTACAGGAATGAGCGGTATTGGCTTAGGCATTGGTCCTATCGACTAGCCGGCTTCAGCCCGATTGCATGAAGACCGGCAAGGGTTAACCACCAGTAGAGGGAGTCTTACTGAGGCACGTCAACTAGGAGCTCCCCCAGGGTCACCGCTCAGGGGCATGCCTTAGGCCCATACCTCCATAGGCTTCAGACAGGGCAACACCCCCCGGAATCCTTTATCGGACTACCCTTTGCTGTGGGGGGAGGCGATGGCGCTTCCTCCCCCCCATACACTTAACCCTCCCTTACCAATGCCTAGCCACCAATGCCGAGGAGTTGTGACGAGTTGCTACGAGGTAGGCGAAAAACCAATTGGCTGGAGCCAATTTGCCAGTTGGAAAAAAATCCTACCAGGCCCATGCAGCAACCAACCGAAGTCCATAGCAATTTTAAGGAGCCTGCCGGGAGGGAGGGTGGGAAACAGGAACAGCTGGCTGGCGTGGCGAAAAGAGGGGGAGCCTCAGCCGTGCCGGCCCTAAATAGGGTGGGCCACGCCCCCCCAGTCAGCCAATTGGTGACATGGCCGAGGATTCCCCTGATCTCACAGGGGCTGGGCATGAAGCCCACATCCCCACCTCCTCCCAAGCTCGGAAGTGGCTTTCTAACGACACACCTCTCCATCCTTCATCCAGCCAAGCAAGTGGTATTATAATAGTTCAAGGACATGTTACAGTCCAACAGAATCACCAGAGGTGGTGCAGAACAGTGAGAGATGTGGCCTGCAGAGGAGGTAGACCAGGTAGAGCATGTCATTTCAGGGGGTGAAACTTAATTTTTGCAAATAACTTCAGTGAGGGGTTTTCAGTTTTTGGGGTGTGAGGAATTATTATTTTTGCCATTGGACAACATTTAGCTTGGTAAGTCTATGTTTGATGAAGAAGCCCATAAACAGCTTGCACATAGTTATTGATGAGCTGGGGTGAATCCTAGGAAAGAAACGTTTTGGGTGACAGAGACATATATGAGAAGACCAGAGACAAACATGACTTAGCGTATAAGTACCGTAATTTTTGCTCTATAAGACTCACTTTTTCCCTCCTAAAAAGTAAGGGGAAATGTGTGTGCATCTTATGGAGCGAATGCAGGCTGCCCAGCTATCCCAGAAGCCAGAACAGCAAGAGGCTTTGCTGCTTTCACTGCACAGCGATCCCTCTTGCTGTTCTGGCTTCTGAGATGCAGAATTTTTTTTTTCTTGTTTGCCTCCTCCAAAAACTAGGTGTGTCTTGTTGTCTGGTGCATCTTATAGAGTGGAAAATACGGTAGTTATATACAGTCGTACCTTGGTTTTTGAACAGCTTAGTTCTTGAACGTTTTGGCTCCCGAATGCTGCAAACCCAGAAGTGACTGTTCCGTTTTGTGAACTATTTTTGGAAGCCGAACGTCCAACGGGGCTTCCGCAGCCAACATCCTGCAGCCAATCAGAAGCTGCACTTTGGTTTTCAAACATTTTGGAAGTCAAACAGATTCTGGAATGGATTCCGTTCAACTTCCAAGGTACAACTGTAGTTGTGGTTCGAGGACCCGATCCCCGCGTAGTGGAATGAAAACACAAGGACACGTGATATAAGGTTAATGGGCAAGAAAAGGCCACAACTTTATTGATTACAGCAAGTGAAAAGGTATTGGCTTAGGCATTGGATTACGTCAGCTGACTCCACCCCCTCAGAGAGGGGTGAGTCTAAAACAGGGGGGTTTATTCACCAGTAGGTGGAGCCTGTTGATGCTAATCCAACTATAAGCTCTCCCCTGATGTCACCGAGGGTCGTGCCATGGCCTCCTTCCACGCAGGCATCGGACAGAATACACGACCGCCGGATTCCTTTAACGGAATACCCAAAATTAAAGGCATAGGCGATGGCCACACCTAGCCCTTCGACACCACAACACATTATTCCAATGCGTAACCTACCCACCAATACCATGAAAGTTGTGACGATTGCTACGAGGTAGGCGAAAAAACCCAAAAGCCTAATGCCAAATGGAAAAATTCCTACCAGGCCCCCCGGACAACCAGGGCGACCAACCTAAGGTCCATAGCAAGGCCAAAAGAAAACTGAGACCCTGAGCTCTAAGGGAGTGGAGGGTGGGTGACTCGCGACGGGACGACGAAAAGTGAGGCCGGAAGGCTGGTGCCGCAGCAATTTTGGCTGCTAAACACGCCCCCTCGCAGGCACCTGGTTGGGTGCCTGCCCGTGGGCGTGGGCACCAGCCAGGTGAGTGGGAGGCAGGGGGCTAACGCCCCCTGCTTGAGGCGGAGTCCGGATCCCGACCACAACCACTCCCCTCTCTTGCAGGAGGAGAGTCTTTGTATACTAGTGAGAGGGTGAATGAGAGGGAGTTGAGACAGTCCTCAATGTATATCTAGGAGACTTCATTTCAAATATCTGCTTAGCTGTAATGCTCATTGGATAACCCTGGGCCAGTCACAGTGTTCCTCTCCAAGGTTGTTGTTATGTAAAATGGGACAAACCCCATATCCTCTTTGAGAAAGGTTGGAATACAATTTTTTTAATAAATAAATAAATAAATACTTATGGATGTTTTATGATGAAACCTAGCCCTTGGTGACCCTAATGCTTATATTAAAAATGTTTTCAAGAAACTTTGCATCCAGTAAATATGTGACTAATATTTAAATGCGCAATTGGCTTAAAAAACTAAATTTAAAAACAAAACAAAATTGGCGTTCTAAATTGTTAGAAATGAATGCAAATGTATCATAAGGATAGTAAAATATAATTAAAGTGTCAGCGGTGAAATTTAATAATCTTAAATGAAATTAAGGTAATAAATTAACCTAAAAATTAATTTAGTTTAGAATTTAGCATTGAGTTCATGAGTTAAATAATTATGTACTATTATAATTTTTTTAAAGATTGTAATGAGTAATTAATATTTAAATGTAAAATTGTACTCATAAGTATTCAGGTATGAAAGATTATATATCTGTAGTAACATACACACTCACTCACACACCCAAATCAGGTTGTAGCTTGAAAGAACTAATTTTAAATGATCTATCAATAAAATTTATTCAATGTTTTCTTGAAGACAATCCAAGGTTTGTGCAATGATTTCTCCGTATCTGAGTTATTAACATCTTATAACATTGTGTTATGCTGCCCCTGTTCTAATTTATAAAGTGTCAAAGCATTTAACCACTTGCATCCAAGAACACACACGAAGCAGTTGTTGTGCAGCCAGTGGCTCTTTAGTCCTCTTCTGTTTTATTTAGTATTTCTGTTTCCTTTTGCTTTTCAGCGCTGCTTTTTCCATGATACAGTGCACAAAACCACACTAAAACCTTTTCAAAATTAAAATGTTGTGCATGCTTGCAGAGAGAGAGAGAGAGAGAGAGAGAGAGAGAGAGAGAGAGAGAGAGAGAGAGAGAGAGCGAGAGCGAGAGAGAGCGCATAAATTTTAAGATTTGAATCTGAAAAGTACTGTGGGCACAAGTCATGATTTTGGTGGGTGGCCGGATTAGAGGTGGTCTGATCACAGTGCCTGATCTTCCAAGAAGACATGACTGTCTGAGAGGCCTTTCTTCTGACTTATGTCAGAGAGAAGTCAAATTTGGACTGCAGTCAAGGCCAGTAGATGAAGTGACTAGATCCTGATAAGTAATGAAATAGTATATACAGAATAACAATCTGTAAAGAGGGACCCATCAATGTTTGACTGGTAGGATGGGGTGCCTAGAAATTTATGGGGCAGACTAGGGGTGCACCTTCTAAGGGATTGTGTTCCCTCAGTAAACCTGACGGCAGAATCAGACATGTCATATACAATATATTCTTCAGGTACATCCAGTGTACCTGAAGGAGCGTCTCCAACCCCATCATTCTGCCCGGAAACAGGTCCAGCGCTAAGGGCCTTCTGGTGGTTCCCTCACTGCGAGAAGCCAAGTTACAGGGAACCAGGCAGAGGGCCTTCTCGGTAGTGGCATCCACCCTGTGGAATGCCCTCCCATCAGATGTCAAGGAAATAAACAACTTTCTGACTTTTAGACGACATCTGAAGGCATGGGAAGTTTTTAATGTTTGATGTTTTATCGTGTTTTTAATATTCTGTTGGGAGCTGCCCAGAGTGGCTTAGGAAACCCAGCCAGATGGGCAGGATATAAATAAAGGTAAAGGGACCCCTGTCCAGTCGTGGATGACTCTGGGGTTGCGGCGCTCATCTCGCTTTATTGGCCGAGGGAGCCGGCATACAGCTTCTGGGTCATGTGGCCAGCATGACTAAGCCGCTTCTGGCGAACCAGAGCAGCGCACGGAAATGCCGTTTACCTTCCCGCCGGAGCAGTACCTATTTATCGACTTGCACTTTGATGTGCTTTCGATAAATATTATTATTATTATATTTATATACACACAAGCTACTGTATTAGGGGAATGGATGGAACCCACACAAAGCTAATGTTGTTATGTCAGATCATCTTCTGCATTATTTCAGCAGTCTTTCCTAGCTCCTCTCACCTGCCTCTAAAGCTTTTAGACTTTTGGATTTTCCATTTAGCCCGAGGTCTTGTACATGTAATCAAATTGTGGGAAACAAAAACAA